TTTTTTTTTTATTCTTATGTTAATCCCCATACATTACATCATTAGTTCTAGATGAAGTGTTCCATGATTCATTGTTCATGCACAACATGGCAGCTTTATTCTTAATAGCTTAAAGCTGGAACAATCCAAATACACTTCAGGTGAATGTATAAATAACTTGTGATAGTCCATGTAATAGACAGTATTCGGCAATGAAAAGAAATGTATGACTGACATAAAGCAACTACATCACCATACCTCCAAAATACTGTGCTAAGTGAAGAAAAACCCATTATTTTCTTATTGCATTCATATGAAATTTGTGAATAGCTAAAATAATCTATAGTGGCAGAAATCAGAGCAGTGGCTATCTGTGGTGGGGGAGATTGAGGAAATTATTGCAAAGGGGCAGAAACTTTGGGCAAGTGACAGACTATATGTTACTTGGGGTAATTGTCAAATGTGAGTTTTTTTTTTAAAAAGATTTTATTTATTTGAGAGAGAGGGAGAGAGAGTGGGGGAGGAGGGGAAAAAAATCAGAGGGAGGGGGAGGGAGAGAATCTTAAGCAAACCCCACTGAGCACAGAGCCAAACACCAGGCTCAATCTCACCACCCAGATATCATGACCTGAACCTAAACTAAGAGTCCAACGCTTAACTGACTGAGCCACCCCGGAGCCCCGGGAGTTTACATTTTTTAAACATACCAAATGGGTGCATTTATTTTGTGTAAATTGTACCTCAATTAGGTTGAAGAAAAACTGCTCTGATAATAATGGTTCTGTATCTTAATTTTGGTTAAATAACTTTATGTTTTTTTCCTATGTTGGATCACAAGTAGAGTTGACAGCAGAGATCATAGTCTTATTCTCAAAGGTTGGGCCAGACTCCATTTTGCAATTTCCATAATAAAGAAAAAAAACAATTAGAGTTTCTTAGTACTAATACTAACAACTAAAGAAGGTGGATAATATTGAGAGATATCCATTTACTTGGGCACCATTTGACCAGATGTTCTCAATCAGTCCTGGTAGGAACAATACTTCCTTTATTTTATTGAAAGGAAATTCATAGATAATATTACTTAACTTCAATATAGTATTTAAAAACTCAATATAATGGCTTAAGTATAAAATAAAAAAGGAAAAAAGGAATTTATATAAAACAATATACATCTCAATATGTAAGTGCTTGGGTAAAACTTAACATTTAGTAGTTTGCCTACATTTAGCAGGCAAAATGAAGGCAAAATAGGAGCCTGAACCTATTCCCAGAGTCACCATCAATGTGATGGATGCATACTGATACTGTCTGGAAGACATTACCATGAACAGACTTGTTATCAATGATGTGATTTTCTGAGATGGTAAACACCTCCTGGTAAAGTTCAGAAACACAAAGTATATGATTTCCTCAATTTATATAGTAGATGCATCCTGGAAAACAAAACTGCAAAACACTTTATGTGCAGCATAGATTTAAATTAGGCTCCAAATATAATCCAAGGTTTTTCACCTACACAAATGCCCGGTGGTCCATTCAGAAGTCCCTGGTTAGTAGGATTGTCCCACCCAGTATGGGACAACTAGCAGTCGGACCTCACAGTACATTGATATCAGTACTCCGGCAGACATCCTGCAAGTCCCATAAAGACCCAGTAAGGAGCTTTCAAGCACCATGGGAACCTCAGACCATAAAAAGTAACCAAACAAAAAACTAGCAAGGAGCTGTCATTGGAAGCTGGGGTGGCAGAAAAACTTGCAGAAATTCTGAGTTAAGGAGAAGCAATTGGGACTGAAGAGATGAAATTTGGAGCCTGAAAGGAAACGTTCGCTGAGGTCTTTATCCTATTTAAACGAAGGTCTCCTGGCAGAACTGAAAACCTTACCTCATAAGCATAAGCATTGCAGTGGAGCAAGGGAGATTTTTAAATTTCGTCCCACCTTGGCTGCCCTCCCAGCAGTCTATCAAGCAGTAAGTCGGTGCCCTGGCCTGCCTTGCAGAGGCCCGGGGCCAGCCTTCCGCCCGCTGGTTACTTCGCAGTCACCGGGGGCTTTTGGGCCCGTCCGGTGTCTAGCGATGGATCACCTGGGTACACAGTGCCCGCACACAGCTTTGCCAGGCCTTTCTCGGGAGGTGCATCGACTCAGCTTCGGTCAAGTTCCCAGCTGTGCAGATTTCCCACAAATAATGCTTTCCACGTGTAGAGACTTTACAGATCACAAAGTGCTTTCATATCAATTACCTCCTTTAATTTACAAGAAGTTCAGCTAACAGATCAAGCTAAGGAATGATCCCTTCTCGGAGGGAAGGACGGCTATAGGAAAGGTCTGTTTCACCGAGGACCCTTTAAGGGCCTGTGCCTGGACGGCTGTGGGACGAGGGCCTGGGAAAGGGGAGGGAGGGGGAGTGTCCTCTTTCTCCCCCCACCCTCCGGCGGCCGCAGAGCCAAAGCCAGGGGGCGGGCGGCGCGGGGTGGTGGTGGGGGGCGGGGTGCTGTCTCCTCCTCTTACCCAGCAGCTGCTGCTCATTCAGCTCACAAGCCCGGGCCGGGGGACTGGGCGGCAGCTACTCCTCGGGCTCCTGAGAAGCGGATCCGCTCCGGGCCACCGCAATGCCAGGAGCGGCCGGGGTCCTTCTGGTCCTGCTGCTCACCGGGGGCCTCGCGGGCGGCGGGGCGCAGCGGCCAGAGCAGCGACAGCTCCAGGCACATCAGCAAAGAGGTACAGTCGAGGAACGGGCTCTAGATTCCATCCTTTGCGGGGGGCTGCGGCCCCTCCTGGTCCCTTCTTCCAACAGCAGGGACCGATTTCTGGCTCTGCCCTCGGGTAGTTGGGGCGAGAGGAGCTAAGCCTGATGCGAGTACACTTTAGCTCCCTGAGTACATCGTGGCGGGTGTGTTGGGGGGATTGCTTACCTCCCCCAAAAGAATATGAAGCCCATTTCATTGTTCATTCGTTCGGAGAGACCTTGCTATCGCTTTTACATATTGCCAATTGATTTCCGAAATCTTCCAAAGAGGCAAACTTTTAACCAATTGAAAAATAAAAAGTTTTTCCAAATCAGATTCCATCCCTACAGAGAAATGTTTCCCAAGCTGTGGCTCATCTTGGAACTTTATGCAGGGCAGCTGATACATTTTTTTTTTTTTTAAGAGCTTTGTTTCTAACTATTTGAACAGAATTTGTAAAGTAGTTAAGTAAGTGGGTTTTTTTCTTTCATGCCAATGGGACCTCCAGCCTCATCTTTTTCTGACTCACATCCGATCTCAGGGATCCTCTTTATTATTATTATTATTATAGTGAAATTTCTCCTCTGGCTTAAATGTAGGCAAGACTTCTATGTCATATTTACTTTAATTAAGGTCACTGTGACCAGATATACACTTTAGGGGACTTTGGAAAACGGTTTTATTTAATGTAACTCAAATTATTCTCTTCAGAGCTCTGTAATGTTTATATGCATATAATTTCTGATACTCTTGGGAGTCTTTGAAGGGTTATTTTATGATCATGAATGGTTTTTTAAAATTTTATTTTATTATGTTAATCACCATACATTATGTGATCATGAATTTTAAAAGAAGCAAATGTATAGCATTTTAAAACATAATTTATAATACATAATTTCAGCAAACATTTTTATGAGTTGGAAAACATGTATTAAAGTAAAAAATTTTTAAGGTTTGGTTTCAAATATCAAAATATTTACCCTAGGAGTACAGAATCTGGGCGTTAGCAGCTTTTGAAAGTTTTGATGAGACTGAATCTGTCAAAGTTTTGAAATATATTTATCCCTCTTTTAGTTAACTGGAATAGAGCTATGTCTAACCATTCTGATAGTTCTTTTTTTTTTAAATTTTTTTTAAGATTTTATTTATTTATTTGAGAGAGAGACAGCGAGAGAGGGAACACAAGCAGGGGGAGTGAGAGAGGGAGAAGCAGGCCTCCCGACAAGCAGGGAGCCCGACGCTGGGCTCGATCCCAGGACCCTGAGATCATGACCTGAGCTGAAGGCAGATGCTCAATGCCTGAGCCACCCAGGCGCCCCCATTCTGATAGTTCTTATAATCTAACATTTCTAGCAGTACTATTATATCTTAAAAGGAGTAAAAAAAAAAAATAATCTTCTTGCTACAATAGTAACTCCCTGATTAAAATTCCTAGAATAAAAATGACCTTAAGTTCACTACACAACTTTTTTTCTTCTAATTTTACTTTTCCTTCTCTGTGAGGTAAAATGGGGTCAATGTGGCATAATTAATAGAGTTTATGAGTGTGAGTTTGAGAATACCTCTGGCAGCTGATTTTTAAAAATACTGCCTCAAAATATTAGCCTTGCTTAGTTATATGATATGTTTTAACAATACATATTACTTTAATACTGTTAAGCAGCTGGGAGTAAAGAGAAGCCAGGAGCACCAACCCTTTTGTTCACTTGGAGTGGGGCAGAAGCTCAAAGCAGGGGGATCAAGTGGGTCCCTGAGAAATTTCCTAGTGTGCTGCCCACTCCCCTCATTCTCTCTCCTCCCAACCCTTCCCTTCCCTCTTTTGCCCCCTCTACCTCTTTTCCTCCTTTTCTTCTTCTCCTACTCCTCCTTCCCTCTTCTCCTCTTTCTTTCTCTGTCTCTCAGTCTCTCTCTCTCTCTCTCTAGATAAAATTAACTCTGATTTCTATGGTCCAGGCACAAGCTGAGGTCAATGCAGAAGGGAAAGTTTATACTGCTGTTCTGTTCAGAGATCACTTGAATGCTATATACAATAAGGAATTCTGTGCAAAATAGTTATAACATAGAATCTACTATAGACTGCTATCTTCTGCATCCTAGAATCTATTAATCTATTACTATAGATCATTTGTAATATATTTCAAGATTGGCTTAGGGATAAATGGTTGAAACTTGTTAATATTAAAAGTATATGTATGTTTCATAATACCTTAAATTTATAAGTGTTTTGTAATTTAAAAATGCCTTGTATGCATTAGCTTATTTCACCTTCAACTATTATTATTCTTATTGGGCAAATTTAAAACTGGAGACTTGGAGTAGTGACTTAAATTCATGCAACTGCTAATAACTTAATTTTTAACAACTAAAAACACTTCTAGTGGTGTTTATGCTAAAGTTCCCTTTTCTATGGTACCAAGATTTCTTTCCATTTATTGCGGGGGCCATGTTTTCTTTTTAATTTTGTTCTGTTAAAGCACACTCTCAGTGAAAATCATTGGATATGAGCATGACTGATGAAGTTTTTGGCTATCAACTTTTTTCTTATCGATTATATTAGCGTTTTTCTCCCTTATAGTATGGTGCCATTTTATTAAGAATACTGACAAGAAGCAATCATTCTTAAATGTTGTAATTGAGTTAGAAATTTAACTACATTTTTTGTTTGTTTTTAATTTTTTCTTTAAAATCTTGTGTAGCTTCTCTAGCTCACTGAGTTGTAGGAATAGCATTGATTCAGTAAGAATGATATTCTAAGAAAATTTTTTAACTAGATATGATTGACAGAATAGAATGATGTAGTCAAAGTGGGTCTGTGTTTCAGCAAGGCAGTAGATAAAATCTTTTCCCGATATTCTTATGAATAATTTGTGGAAATGGAAATCTAATGGTAGGTAAATTGCAACTGATTGGAAGTAGTTGCCAAAGAATACCGCGTGGTGGTTTAAGGTCAATTCGGAAAGAAGTCTTTGGGAGTGTGATAGAGGATTCCTTATGTTCATTTGTCTCGGTGATGGCTTGATGGAAAACATAAAATGCAAGCTTATCAGAACTTCTGGTGGTCCAAAATTGATTCAGGTGGCTAAGCAGGTTAATAACAGATACAGGAATTTTGAAAGTCTACATAGCCTGGACCATGAACAGAACCTACGCAGAGCTGGTTTTGTTATTTGTATGCAGACATTAAATGATTTCATTTCCCCTCTTCTGGAAATGTTTTGTTTCCCTTATAAATACAGGGATGAGTACAAAAATTGGAGGAGAAAGGGCAGTCTGAATTGCAGCAAGTTCAATATGAACATATAGTGTGACATATTGACAGAAAAGAGAACTCTTATTAAAAAAACTCATAGAAACAGAGGGCTGTTTTAGAACACATTGGGGTGCTTCACTGACAAATGTAGGTCAATTCAGAGGAAGAAGAAGAGAGTAGTTAGGACTCTGGAAAGATTTCCAGAGGAGGACATTTCAAGTGAAAATTATTTGGAGAGGGGCGCCTGGGTGGCTCAGTCGTTAAGCATCTGTCTCCCACTCAGGTCATGATCCCAGGGTCCTGGATTGAGCCCCGCATCCGGCTCCCTGCTCAGCGGGAAGCCTGCTTCTCCCTCTCCCACTCCCCCTGCTTGTGTTCCCTCTCTCACTGTGTCTCTCTCTGTCAAGTAAATAAATAAAATCTTAAAAAAAAAAACTATTTGGAGAAAGAAAGACTTAAGAAATGAGGCATATGACAAAGGGGAAGGTTTGAATTAAATAAGATGAGAGGAAGCCTGCTCCTTCTCCCTGCCCCTCCCCATTCTGAGCTGTTAGAAATTACTAGGTTGTATTGGAGCACCTAGTTTCTGGAAATGTCCATGTGTGATCAGATGTGCAAACTGTCAGGGAGTCAGGGATGAGTTAGGATGAAGTGCCTTTCCAGAGACATAGTTAAAACTCATCAAGTCTCCAGTGCTTTGCTAAGCCCAAGATTCTAGTATTACAGTCTATTGTTTTTGGAGTGCATACTTGCATTTGAACTTCTGAATTCTTAAAGATGTCAAGAAAATATGAAATGTATATAAATGTGTTTTTAGATGCTTTCTGGGATTTAAAATAAAAACATGTTTGAGATGATCCTCACTCATTTTTGGCAAGAAGACTTAAAATTTTCATATGGAATTCTTACATCACATTAATTGCCTGGTTCTAAAACATGCTGTGCTATACAATATGAAAATGCTTCATAAATTACCTGAGATTTATTATAACCATAAACCTGGAATTAATTTCTTTTTAATCGCTTTTGCTACATATGTAACTTTTGTACATATGTTGGCTTGGTCACTGCAGACTGACCTAATAGTTTAGTAAAAATGATTCATAACAGATAAAATGTAGGGTTCAGAATAAGAACATATTCAACATTAACAATTATAGGTGTAAAATTTTTTTAAAAGACATGAACTTTATATTATGTATTTTATCTTACATATCAGTGTATACAAATTGCTGATTGATCTTATTCCTAAAAGTTTTCTATCCTAGGATTTCATGCAAAGTAATGAACCGAATCTCCATCAAGAACTGCCAGGGAGGGCGCCTCGGTGGCTCAGTTGGTTAAGCGTCTGCCTTTGGCTCAGGTCATGATCCCAGGGTCCTGGGATCAAGCCTCGCACTGGGCTTCCAGGGAGCCTGCTTCTCTCTCTGCCTCTGCCTCTCTCTCTGTCTCTGATGAATAAATAAAATCTTAAAAAAAAAAAAACTGCCAGGGATTATGAAAAAAACTGTACATGCTCTGCCAGTTTGTCCTTAATTCACTCTGAAATATGGGATAACTGTCCCCTACACTGTAATAACCATAGTTTTATCAATAATAACCAGAGTTTATAGCTCTATATAAACTATATATAATATATATATATTATATATATATATAATAATAACCAAAGAGTTTATACCAGCTATGACTCTGTAAGAAAAGCATGAGTCTATATTTTTATGGGAGAGATTTAGTTAAAT